TTTCCTTGACTAAGAAATATTCACAAAATACAAGTTCAAAATCACAGCTCCATAAATCAATACTATTTTTGGCTCCACTAGAAAAATCAATACTTTGTATAGCCTTGTCTCGAGTCACACTGAGTAGACTTCACTCAAGTCACATGAATAAATAACAAGGTAAATGCAAGGTTTGTAGTGAATAAACAACCAGAGAAAGGGGTCATTATAGAAGAACAAGAAATATAATCAACACAACCATTACACATGCATGATGTAATCAAGCCAAAAAAGTAATCAGATCTATCAATTTAGACCAATAGAACCTTTTTCGTCGTTTCCAACTGAGCAAGAAATTTGAATAGGCCCTGCCTTCATTCCCTAGGTCCTCCCAATAATCGAGAAACTTACCACCGATTTTTCCAATGACCGCCGGGAATACCAAAGCCCAAACTGCCTCCTAAGCGATCTGCGAGTGAAAAACTTGCACAGGCGCAGAAGTATGAACAAACTTGTTAACTTTGGTCAATGGTGCGTTTTTGTAGTGTTTTGATTTTTTTCTTCTCAGATCATGACTTCGGTCTTGTATTAAAAAATGTTCCGGTCCAGTAAAAGTTCTGAGCAACAAGCCCTGCGGTCTTGAGGATTCCCCCCCCCCCAAATTCGAGCCCTTACTGCGTCCCACCTTATCCCGACCCATCCCACCTTCGGTCGGGATCCCGACATAAGCTACCCCGATGTATCCCGTCGGGATACATCCATCCCGACTTATCCCAACGTATGCCAGGATGAGCTGATCGGGATCCCACCTTATCCCAACTCATCCCGCCTTCGGTTGGGATCCTGACCAAAATTCCATCACTCATCCCACCTTGGGTCGGGATCCCGACATAAGCTATCCCGATCATGCCGATGTATCCCGTCGGGATACATCCATCCCGACTTATCCCAACATATTCCGGGATGAGCTGATCGGGATCCCACCTTATCCCGCCTTCGGTCGGGATTCTGACCAAAATTCCATCGGGATCCCGACTCATCCCACCTTGGGTCGGGATCCCGACATAAGCTATCCCGATGTATCCCGTCGGGATACATCCATCCCGACTTATCCCAACGTATCCCGGTGGGATGTGTCGGGAATCCCGGCGGGATATGTCGGGATCCCGACCACATTTTTTAAGGGGATCATCTTTCATTGAAAAAAAACCTTTTTCATTTTGCCGACGCGCATGGCTACGGCGACGCGCGCGCATACCAGAAACCGGAGACTTTTTTTTTTTGGCCTAATGTTCTGCTTTTTCACCTGGGTCTGCCTGAAAGCCTGCGAGTACGTCTACTTGGAGTGCATTGTATGTTTGCTATGCAAACACATGTTCTTTTTGAAAGCTACCGATACCTGATATCAAACGCAAAATACATGTTCACCAACAGATCTAGGTTCAGTGGATTTCTTGAATGAAGGTGGCAATCCCAACCATATTAAACATGTCCACTCCTGACTAGGCTGCATTGAACACAAAGGTGCATGTAAATCATACCCCTGTATAAAATCCCCTGAGATAGGATTATAACACAATTGTCCATGCAGCCTCATTGTGCGTGGTTCACTGGTTGACATTGATAGGGTTTCCCCCACATGGTGGCAAGGTTGTTGTCAGTAACCATGGTTACCAGGGCATTGGCACCGAAGTACGGTTCGACTAAAAGAACATGTACAACAGAAACACGTACCGTATTCGTGGTGCAATACTCGTTCCATTGATCAGAGTATAAATGTGTATTTAACCCAGTTTAAGGTCCAATAACTCCCCTAAATATTTATTTGAAGGACAATGAATGGCCGTATTGAATGCCTCCCAATCAGGACTGATCATTATTGTTCAGTTCTTTTCATTGTCACAGCCTCCTCCCTCCCACACTACAGAGGTCGACACAAAAGGGATCTCTTGGGTAACAAATCAATATGAACCTGTTGTTGATCAAGTAGACATGGATGTATGGAGCTCTATCTACAAAATCTTTTAGTGAGGTTTGTATCACAGTAACCTGGTTTCTGTTAAATAGCCAAGATCACCTTTACTTACCGGTATATGTACATCACACACACTTGAAATGTAATGTTATACAAATATTGAGTGGCTCAGCGTGGAATGGGAGAAATATTATTGCAAGGTAAAATCTGGACTTTTCTTCGCCGAGAGAACTGGAAAAGTCCAGATTTTACTGAGCGATAATATTCCTCCCATTTCACAATTTAAAGCCACTCAATATTTGTTTTAAAGAAACCCCTGCATTTGATATATTTGAACTTTTATTTCAATAAAAACTGGAGGAAAATGTATTTCTCTCTTCCAAACCACCCCTTCATGAAAATGTTTGAACCCAATGCTGTAGCGCTGGCTCTTTGCAACAATACGCGCTACGCGCAACGCTGAACGCGCACACCAGCATGCATTTGCACACAAATGCCGCGTCATGGAACAAGAGTGATCCTAACTGTTAGTATTTCCCATTCCCCATGGGCGGATAGTACTTTTTGAGCCGTGGCGTGAATGGGAGCAATAACGAATGTCACGTGATGTGAGTTCCACCAATCAAATGACAAGGATCTGTATGTCGGTTATATAAACATAACTGATACATGTGTCAAATACATATCTTTGAAATGTATGCTACTGACTCCCCCAAAAAAGAACAATTTTACAATCTGGAAAAAAAAGTAGGTCTACACACCTTTAGTCTACTGGTAGGCCTATATGTTATTTTATATTATTTATTCGACCAATAAAATTACAAACACAGAGATGAGCCAGAGGCAGCAAAAGTAAGGATACTGTGGTCCGCAGATCTGTTCCCCCATGTGCAAAGACAAAAGTGTTGTATTGTTGTGCAGAACAAGGCCCTGTTTTGATATTAAACGATTACAGGCGATAAACAAGCATTTAATTTTAGAAGGCCTGTCATCGGTGCAGTTTGATGGTCAAACAGAGCGTGGATGCTTTTCATAATGTTGCTTATTAACTACTACTCAGCTATGTACAGTGTTTCCAACGTTTCATTAAGTACAGTGATGAACACTATACCAGCTGTTACCTGCAAATAGTTAACAGATAGAAAAAATAGTGTCTGCTTCATAAACAGGATAAATTAAATATTTGAGTTGTCCCACTCAGTTTGTCTTTTTTTGTCATATTAACTAAACTGTGTTTGCCTTAGTCCCTCAAACTTTTATTGTCATTCATAGACATTTTTGCCAGGTGTTCAATGGTCATTTCGGTAATTTTCACCATCGACATTGCAAACAAATAAAATTGAAAAAAAAAGTGTGTTCGTTGAGTTGGCTCTGAGATATATTTCAAAACGGTATTACAAGTTAATAGTTAACATTAAGGGTTTTGTTTTAATTTCCCACAATGTTCTATTGCATTACCAGTTGTGTGAGTTGACACAATCTGCACTAATTATTAACTACCGGTACACACGTATACATGCAGGTGACAATTTATTTTGGGGTCTGTGCTGTAAATTTTGGTTTCTCATTAGACATGTACCGGTAATTATTAAAGCCTGGATTATCAGTGAGAGTACCAGATAGATCACTTGAGAGTAAAGTGTTACCAAGCAGGTAATTTGGAGTGTTTTCTGGGTCAATTTATTTGTGACTGAGATGCTATAAAAAGTTTATCACTGGCCATGAGAGTTTGCAATGTGAGTTGATGTTTTACACAGTAAATGGGTAACACAATCGATAGACTCCAAGGTGGTAATGGCATCCATCACAATAACTGTGTAAGTTTACGCTTTCCTCTCAATTTTGTCTGTAATTGTACCACTTTGTTGGTGAAATTTTATGTTGTTATTGTACGTTGAGTGGTGTTGGCGCAGGTTGTTCTGTAGTCGCATAATTTTACACGATTGCAACTTGATTTGTGTAGTGGAAAGGACAACGTCAGAAAAGTTAAAGATGCGGATACATCGTACACCATTTGAAGTGCAAAGAGAAACGCATTTCAGTTCACTCAGTGAATCCTCAATTTGTGTTTTTCTCAAGATTAAGATGCCCACGGGCAAGATGCTCTGCAGAATTTGTTTCATGTTATTGGGCAGACATGTACCATACCTGTATTTCTTAGGAATCTGACTGCAGAATCAGGTGTTACTATTTACATGTAGGTGTTAACTTTCGAAGAAAAAGAAATTAAGTGTACATTTTTACATACCAGTACCTACATTGTGTACATGTACATCGTACATGGTGTGCAGTAGTCAGCTTTATTTACTATTTATTTATTTATTACATTTTTTTTACACAGGGTATGCTCAAACAGTTTCAAAATAGTTTCCATTGGGGCCCTGCATACGACAACACACATACACAGTATGTACAAATACAATACATTACAAATACATGAACAATACAATACAATACAATAAAAAAATGGAATAAAAGCATGTATGTGAAATTAATGCATAATTGTTAAGCAGCTATTATAAATATTGTACAAATATTACAATGGTGCAGTGTGAAACAATGTTGCTAGCATGCTAAGTATACAGGCCTTTTATACATTGTATACATTTACATTCTGTAAATATACATACAAAGTATGTCATTGCAATATTATAGAGTTACAACTCATTGAAAATACGGTACAGTACAGTCGTTGAAGTGGAAAAAGAGCTCACAATTACAGTATTACACATGTAACTTTCTTTCGAACAAAGAGTGTCAAGGTTAGTTCACAGTTACAGTACTACACATGTAACTTTTTTCAACAAATAGTGTCGAGGTTTAAATTGCCACCCTGAACCTTCATACATGTACACACATACCGTACATGTATACATGTACATGTATGTACACAATGTATATCATTTTATGCTCGGACCAGCAAAGTCAACAATTCAGTTTCCTTGGAAATCCAATCAGTTATGTGTAATTAAGTATGTGATACTTGGAAACAACTCCTGATTTTCATTTTGTAAATTTTCAACCCTCTATCATTCATTTTTAATAGGTGGGAGATGACCAACAGAAACAAGAGGCTACAACTCAAGGAGAAGCAGAAAGAGAAGAATTGGAGCAGGTGGTTGCAAGTCAACAGCAAGAAATTACAACTCTCAAAAAAGAAAATGAGCAATTGGTAAACTTCCCCTTCCTTTCCAAAATCAAATTGGATTGTGTTTTTGCTGCTAATTAATACCAAGCCTATTTAACCGGTGAATGTGGGCCCTGCAAGTTTGTTTTTTCAAATGGAATCTTTTGCAAGGTTATCTTTTGCTTCTGGACTTTGTTCTGGTAACTAATGGAAAGGCCCATTTGATGCTTGCTTTTTAATTTAAACTTGGCAAAATGCTTGCAATGTATTCAGCTTGTCAGCTACTGTTTGCAAGTACATGTACCGGTATATATGAGCTTCTTAATTCAAAAGGGCTGCTTTATTAACCATATTTGTTTGGCTGATTTTATTTTGTAAGATTAGTTATGCTTCCAGCTTTGATTTTACTTTGTTTGATTTCACTTTCTTTTGCATGCACTATGATTCTTTTCAATATAGCTGGATCCTGACGAGCAATTTGCACTGTCACTTGCACCGTATATTGCTGAGACATCTGTCACCCCCTGTGTAACCCCAAGAGACATTACACCATCCCCACTCCCACCCCCATCGGAATCATCTGATACCCCTGATAGAGCACACTTCCTCCTTGGAAGTGGCTTTCCTGCACCTGGGTTTGTTGAGGGGTCTGTTTCAGGGTTTGCAACTCTGGATGAAGACCAACGTAATGTTGACACACCCCCACCTCCACTAGCACTAGACATTGGTGACACCCACATCAGTCTGTTGGATAGTGATATTGAAAGTAACCAGTCCCTTGCACCCATATCTGTCGAGGGTTCTGTCACAGGGTTTGAAGCCCTTAGTGATGACCAGTCAAGTATTGATACTGTACCTAACACTACAGTTGCCAAAGACTTATCCCCACCGTTACCTCAAGTCACTTTTGATGTCCCTATTGCTACATTTATAAGTCCTGCCGAGAGTCCCCCACCCCTTCCATCTACTTTTGCCGAGAGTTCCGTTACATCATCTGAGCCCAATGCTGTCCAAACTAACTTTGCTGAAACGTTAAATTTGCTAAGCACCGACATTGTTGTTAGCATGCCACCACCCCCATCTTTTCAAGACAACGAAGATGTCACTATCACTCCATTTGATGAGTGTGTTGAAAATGCTAGGCAGCCTTGGCCTCCATCTGGTGATGGGTCGGTTGTGGGGTCTGTCACCCCATGTGTCAGCCCCCCTCCTGAGAGTGCAGATTCTTCTGGTGCTAATGGTGGAGGGTCTCTGCTGCAAGTTTCCGCTATCCCTGTTGAAAGCCTTGCAGCTGGTGAATCAGATTTCTTGGATGACATTGCACCCCTATCTGCACCCCAGTTTGACACTGTGTCCCTCACCGCGTCTGACCCTAGGGAGAATGAGAATGAACCCAGTCCTGATCAGCGAGAACACATGGTACATTGTACTTCAGCTTTTGTTTTGTGGCGCTGTGTTATTAATGTTTGTTCACTTTGAGTACTAATGTTTGTTTGTCGGTGTGTCAGTTTTTTGTTGCTGTTTACAGTCTGTTCAGTCTGTTCTGGTCATAAATTTAGTTGTGTAACTGACTACATGTGGTTTGTATACATTATACTTCAACTTTTGTTTTGTGGCGCTGTGTTATTAATGTTTGTTCACTTTGAGTACTAATGTTTGTTTGTCGGTGTGTCAGTTTTTTGTTGCTGTTTACAGTCTGTTCAGTCTGTTTTGGTCATAAATTGGTTGTGCAGCTGACTAGTGTACATGCATTTAATATTATTTTATGTTTTCAATTTATATTTATGTTTGGATTTTTTGGCAAATGCTAAGGCAAACCGAAAGATAATGTTCAACTAACACTGAACATAAAAGAAATGAAATGCATTTTCAAATTCAAATGAAGAATTGTGTTTGACTACATTTTTGAATATGAATCTGTTGTTTCTGTAAGTTATCAGAAAATTTCAGAGTTAACTGTGAATAAGCAATGCTTTTTTTTTCAAACTTATGCATGTGTGCCGATTGGGACCATAAAATTTGGCTTGACAAATGGAACGTTATACATTTGTAACTGCTTTTTGTTTATAAACCTATTCTATACACGTACGATATGTACCAGTAAGTCTGCTTTTCTATTACTGTCAGTGATTCATACACGTTCTGCCAATAATTTCCCAATTCAGCCGTGAAAACAAGATTACGTGATAATCCTCAAATTGAGGATAAATATAGGAAAGTGCACGGCCCTTACCGGTATGCATGATATAAATGTACATGTGTGTAGTACGTCACATTGTCTGCTTGCATGAACAAGACCAGTCTGTTTGCATTTTTATGTTTTTGTCTCCTGCATGCACATGTATAGCCCAGCAGCAGTAATACAGAGGGGGAACACCCAACTGACTTGGGTACCGGCGACCGGTCTGTCACGGTGTCCGACACTGGTACAGGTCACCATGTAGACACGGGATCCCAGCATGAGGATGGGGCAGCTATGAGCATGGATGCACCGCAGCAGCACGGCACGGTATTGCTCATGAACGCAAATGCAGTTCAGTTCATTTTCAGTTTATCGGAATGTTTGAATTGATTCAGGCTTTCAAAAATGTATTGATTGGAAAATGCATTTTTGAAAGCAAATGATACGGTCATATCAGGAACCATGCTTTATGACCAAAAACACAGACTTTTTGGCTCCTTAGATACATGCAGTGGAAGGATAGCGGTCCTTTTAGGTTTGCTCTGTATTTCTCACCAATCCTAATAAAATGAAAACATTGTTAAAAGAAAGCAATAAACCAATATTGTCTGGCTGCATGAATGACCGTATTGGAATTAAACCTTCAATTTGTGTTGTGCTGTTTGTTTTGTTTAACTAGTTTAGATATAAACAAACCCAATGCCATTTTCTCCAAAAACTTTTATGCATTAAAATTGACCAGTTTCTAATTTCTACGCATGGTAGCACGCCTTACTTGACAGCACGGTTCCTAAAGTGATCATTTCATACATGTACATCAGTACGTGCTTATGCTAAAAACATTTTCATAGAAGTTAATGATGTTGAACTGCATATGTGTTTATTGCTTTTTCATATTAGCTCTGCATGCCTTATTTGTATGACTCGGATCTGTGCAGATCCATTCCAGAACCAAAATGTAGAGCAACTTCAGTTGATCTAAATGGAATCAGTTTCAGATGGGTGAATTCTGTCTAGGGCTGTCTATTTTTGAATAATTTAGTATTTGATTATTGGAAATTGCACTGGACCGAATATTTGAATATTCAAAACTCGCCGATTAAATTTTACACACGCCAGCTGCAGCTGCCTTCCTTGCTGGTCAAAAGTTGCATACAAAGCGCTGTGGTTAAAACTTGCATGCGGCGATGGATATTATACGCAAGCTGATTTACCCGATCATAGATCGGGTAGGGCGTAGTGTTGGGGATGAAAATGTGGGGAGTTAAATGTAAATGGGGGATATAGTTGGGGAGACATGCAGTTATAGAAAAACAATTTCTGTGGTGTGATCTGAGGTAATTTCTGACCACTAAAACCATATTATACATAGTAAGTACTGTACAACTGTCAAGGGACCAATAAATAGGCGTCGACAAGAAAGTGACTGTGGACAAAAAAGTGGCATTTTACAATTAAAAAAACGGCAACTTTACGTTTACAGTGACACCACAGTCGTGTTTTTCTTTTCGAATATTTAAAACTGCACAAAATAATTTGAAGATTCGGTTGATGATCAAATATTCGAATATTTGGCATATTCGGGACAGCCCTAATTTTATGTATTATTTCTTCATTGACTGGACTCTCTAGTTACAAACAACCAAAACAGTAGATCTTTTGCTTGTTTCAAATGTCAAGCTTACACGTGTAATTCTGATCTTCAGAGTACATGTAGGCCTAGTTAGTTCGGTGCAAATTTGGAATGCCGGTCTGAAAATGGGTGTTGGAAATAATTGTTTTGTGGATGATATAAATCTGTTTAATATATTTAGTTCAATTTATGAAAAAAAATCATTGAAAGCATAATTGCTTGTTCAATCCCTTCTCATCTTTTAAACAAAATATCTGCAACTAAATACATCTATGTTGTTGTTGATGTGATATAATGGAATGTTCGGCAACCTACAGTGCCCTTTGTGCCATAAGCAATACTTCTGCGTTACATCTATGGAAAACCGTGGTTTGAAATCTGAAATACTTCACACCAGAAGAGCCACTCAGTTTAAAGTTGAGGCCAGGTCATTGAGGTTGGAAAGGCCGTATGGTTGGAATACTAGTGGAATAAAAACAGATTAAAGCCTTATGCATGATTATATATGGTGGTCGTCATGAGGTCACAACCTACTAGAACATATGGTGTTGACTAAAGAGTTATGGCTTTCACCTTGTTTAACAGGTTTGGGGACCTCCACATTTATATGGGAATTATATTACTTTCTTTTATAGTGTAATTTTTGTATCAAGTTTGATGTGTTTTTTTGGGGGGGGGGGGGTTAGTGATTAAAAAAAAAACACTTTAAATATCCAGGAACCATGCATTAAAAGGCAAAGTATAGTAAATGGTATAAGATTGGACAAATCCACGTAAATGTCAATTCATAAAACTTAAAAATTTAATCAATTGCCATATATATTTATTGTAATTGAAACAACTATGGCATACATACATTATTGACACTATTATACTGTACAAACAAGAGAGTCCAAGCAATTCATTATTGGCTTCACTTTGGAAAAAACTTGTCATTCTAGTCATTGGCTCTGAGCTTACATGTACATGCACATTAAAACCAGAAACACCAACTTCATTTTGAATCAAAGCATGTCACCATCACTTTGGGTTGTTTGACCACATTTAGGTGCACATTTTATCTACGCAAACCTTACAAAAAAAATACATACATGTCAATGTACACACATTCTTGTTCCGTGGCTGTGGGGACTACACGGGACTTGTCAAATGGTAGGTACATGGGAACCAAAGACGCTGTGGGGACAGCAGAAAGTCCCCATAACTCGGTCCTAATTTTCCAAACAATAAAAAACTTGCCCATAGTACGGTGACGGCCCGCCCATGCATGTACGTATCGTTGTATTTACATGCACTATCTACGGTATTGCAGACATTCTCCTCTGGATTTCTGGATTTGGTCTCACAGCTTTCTAAGTTGTTTGATTAAAATTGTTACAGCCAGATGATTGTAACTTACTGATAGTGAGACGTGTTTTCAAATATTTAATTTTTTTTGGTACAGCGACAAAAGGTTGAGGAGCTACAGTTGGAGCGAAAACCCACCGAGGAGCGCATCGACAAACTGAAGAAGCGCAACATTGAGCTATCAGTCATGGCCAAGCGGCTGGAGGAGAAGGCTAAGCAGATACAGAAACAAAAGGTTTGTGTGCTAACGTGAATTGGAGAAGAGTGGCTCAGTTTTACAAAAGCTAGCCTCATATTAGAGTGAAGTTACTGGCTCGATCATACTATTTTTCGAAATGCTGCATAGCATGCACTGTTTCATCAGATCCCATTTTACATTGTAGTATCATCAGTTGGACTTCATTGATCTGCTAAAACAGTGAAAAATGTATGACCACTGATGGTTGTGTATTATGCTCTTCAATCACCCATTCGTAGTGCATGACGATGTCTTTACATTATAGTCCTGATAATGCAAGAAAAATACATGTAGTCATTGCAGTAATTTTTTTTATGTGTATTTCTTATGTAATAGATTTCCCCCCTCAAATAAGTGCTCATGTTGGCCAGCAGAGGGCAGTGTTTATTGAGGACACACTACTGTCATTACAATTGAGTAATGCACCAGTTCTCCCACTCCCACAAGTATTGATTTGCAAGCCATACACTGACTGAATTAAATATACATATATAGACTGACTAGCTGTGGGAATTATTAACGGAAGCATTGAAGCATACATGTAGGCGCAAAAAGTCCTGATCTTTGATAGTGAGAGACAATATTAGTCCTGTTACTAAAATTTCTGATACTAAATACATACAAATGTACATGTATTTTAACGCTTGTTTGCTGTTCAAGCAGATTTGTAACAAATAATTTTCGAACATGAGCATCTGTACACGTGTGCGTGTATAGTGTACGTGTATAGTATCACTTGTAATATACATGTACATAGATGTACACGATAAAGTATTTTGTAATCAACACGTAATATATGTAAAGGGAAATAACCCATGACCCTATATACATACTAACACTTAGTACCTACTTGTCCTTTATTTATAATGATATTTATAATGCAGGAAAGGATACCTAAAACTTTTTTAGAAAGTACTGTGTTCAACCCTCAGAAAAGCCAACATGTTCAGATTAAAACAAAAACACTACAATTACAATTTCGTAAGAAAGTTTACACACTTTTCCCCACTTTTCTTTTCCGAAAATTCTGGATCCTTTTTAAGCTGGGTGTTCTCTGGATAGCTTGCACAGACCAGCACAACATCAAGTCACCTCCCAGACTAACCCCATAAATTTTGAACTTCAAACCTTAATCTAGTCACTTACCCCCTCTGCCCTCCATCAAGAAGAATAATGCACCCATTATTCCCACAAGTGACCCATCCATAAAAAGGCTGTGACTCTCACCTAGTTGCCCTACATAAGAAAGAAGTCATCAGCTCCATTGACGAAAGGAGAGCATTTTGGGCTCCATGTGTACCCATAGGGGATTAAGACAAGGCCTAGGCACAATAATAAAGACAATCAATAATTGTATTGTTGGATATATTGGTTGGTGCAGGCAAAACAGCAACTTGTAGACTGTACAATTGCATTAGTCCCAGTGTAAGGTGGTACTTTAGGTAACTACATCATACAGTATTTGGTGCTGCACCATAAAGATGGAAAGTTCTTAACGTTGGATTAGTTAACAGTTATATTCCAATTGTCTGCTGTTTTTCTGACTTCGGGAGATGCCATCCAGGGAATATTTTGAAAGAAACTCAGCAGCATCAATTGCTCATTGATTGCCTGTAATTGCAGCCTTAAGATCACAGGCTGGACTGGCGAAGGGAGTATTTGGAAATGTGCACATATACAGCCCTATCAATTGCTGGATTTGATGCTGACAGATTACGATTGTCAAGTTGGCGATTGTCAACATGTGGATTGGAAGCGAGCTGCAGTGGTGTATGGTGATACGTGAAATCAGAATTTGGTACCTGTAGATTATATTTAAGAGTTTAGATGTAGTACCTGTACACTGTGGTGATGGAAATGTAACCATATACAGCTTCATCTTTCTTTTGACAATTGTTACTCTGGAATTTTCTGTATTTTGACAATTACAACTTTAAAGCCTTTCACGTCAGAACAAGAAGTCGTCCATATTTTATACCGAGAGCTTGTTTTACAGGTATACAAAATTTGGTGAGCTCATATCGCAGAGCTGCTACATCGTTTGGAAAAATATCTTGAATCAGGGATTACCAAAATGGAGTCCCCAGACCCCAGCGCCAACCCAGACCCCAACCCCAGCTTTGGCATCAGCTCCTTGCTGAGCATCAGCATGCCTTTCAAGCTCTTTTTCCAGACCATCACAACTTCTATGGATAAAGATGAAAACACAAAACCTGGAAATCCGAAACCCCAGCCATCAACAGACGAACAGCAAAATGGTTTCCCACATCATGATCAACAACAGCAGCAGCAGCAAAATCCAGTTCATCAACTTGCACTTCAACCAGTGCAACAGGGCCAACAGCACCACCTGCAGAAGCACCATGCGCAACAGCACATCTCTGCCCAGCATCAACAGTTTTCTGCTCAGCAGAAGCACTTCTCTGCCCAGCATCAACAGATTTCTGCTCAGCAGCAGCAGTTTTCTGCTCAGCAACAGCAGTTTTCTGCTCAGCAGCAGCAGTTTTCTGCTCATCATCAACATGCTGTAACAGTCAAGCTCTCGCAGTCAACCCACAAAGTTAAATCAGCAACAGTTACCAAGGGGGAGTTACGTTCACTTCAAGAGCAGAAAGTTGCGAGACAGAGCAGGCCAATTGCACGGAAGCAACATATAAGACCACAGCTAATGCCACCATCATCAATCAACGTGTCAGCAAGGGAAAAGGATTTCCATGACTTGTTGCTTTCAGTGTATAAAGATAAGGAGGTAGGGAATAAAGTGTAGGTTTTGCGGGCTGTTTAAAGACTTCCCCTTTTTCAACAAGGAACGAGAAACTTGCTTGAGAAGTACATGTATTGTAGAAAGTGCATTGTTCTAGTTTCATTATTTCAGATAGTTTAGAGACATATTTTACTGAGAGCTTTGTATTGTACTTGAAGACATTGTTATATTGGTACTTTTTATTCCAGTTAAATCTGGAAAAAATTCAGAAGTAGCTTAAGGCAAAAAAAAAGTCTCCGGTTTCTGGTATGGAGCTGGCCCAAAAAGTGGTGCGGCGACACGGCTTTTTTTTTTTTTACCTGATTTTTTTTGCCTCAAATGTCGGCTGATGACTGCAAATGGTGCCCGACTAAACTTAGTGCAAATATATGGGAGTCCAGAGAGGCCACATAAAGCTTATCTCGATCATAACCCCATCTAAAAACACGTAAAAATTGTGCAGCAGCAGGATTCCAGTCAAACCAGTGAGTTTGGCGGTTTTGAGACAATCTTTCATCTTTCAACTTTTTCATTTTGCCGACGCGCATGGCTACGGCAACGCGCGTGCATACCAGAAACCGGAGACTTTTTTTGTTGGCCTGAACAATGAGTGCTTTGCATTTCCATACAGTGTGTGATAAGCAAATCATCCCAATCTATATGCTCAGTCAAATTCTGTTGTATCATAAATTCAAATGGATTTGTGAGCTGAAAGATGTACCTGCATTTTTAACAGCAGCTATTCTCAACCCCACTACTTTTTACCTGGATTTGTTTCACAGCTCTCACACAGTTTTTCCCCATACAATTGTTTGTCTCTGTATTAAAAGAATAACCAAATGTTAACCATGTACTTGATATACTCTGTGCAATACACAGTCATAATGCCACACATTTAACATAGTTGGCAACATATAACATACATGTAGTTGGCAATGCAAGTTCCGCACAGGTGCATGATATCATTGATCTGTCTGGATCGTTACAATATGTAACATTGTGGGGTAGAACCAGACATGATTTATTCATTGTTGTAACAAAGCTTGCATAAAGCGATCCACAATAATGTGTTCTTACATGTCACCTGCCTTTTCTGTTAAAATCTAAATATTGACAAATCTCATTTTGGACTGTGTAGGGTAGTTAGCAGTGTATGAGTACATTAAAATCTTTGGAAAGTATCCAAAGAAATTGTATTCTGCACTCCCCAAGATAAGCCAGTTTTATATGTATAAGCACTGCAGGATGAGTGAGTGGCCAAATACATGGCTAATTTATAAATCAAAATGACGGGTATTTACTCTCTTTTTTGGGGCGGGGGCATTGTTAAGATGGTGGCAGAAGTCAAAAGAGGCCAGCTTAAGTTTGCATCACATGTGAATGGAGAACTCTTCATGCAGTAGTGCATTGCAATAGGCAAGCTATGTAGTGGTGAAATTTTAGCAAACAGGCAGTACAAATTCTAACAGGTCATATTGTTCATAATTGGATTACAGTCGACTCTCGTTATAACAAACTCGTTCGGACCTAGCCAAATTGTTTGTTATATCAGAATTTTGTATTAAGAGGAACATCAGTCCCATTCATTGTGTACATAAATGCACAGTCGGGACCAAGGCTTTATGTTTGTTATAACCAGAATTTTGTATTAACAGAGTTTGTACTAACGAGAGTCGACTGTACTCTGTTCGCACACTTTGCTCTTAGTAGATGGTGCTTTTCAGCCACTCTGAGAGCTCAGTGTACGGGACACACCTCGTGTGCATACTGGCTGACGCGCATATGGCGTTAGATACATGAATGCATGAGTTATAATGTGCTCAAAGCTATCTTCATGTTAGCGTCAAGCGTCATGGCAATACATTCGAATGTCCCTCCCAGTTGTTTCCCCAACTTTTCCTTTGTAACAGCTGAGGGGGTACTTGCGCACAGAGCCCATAAACATCTACATTTACCCACTTGCACATACAGATATGCAGATTTATAGTACTGATAACTTGCAAACACCACACCTCTGCTTCTACATGGTGGATAACGAATACCCCAAACTCCATGTCTTGATATAAATATGAAAGTATTTGCCATCTTTCAATCCTTGCAGAGAGCAGACACGTCCCCCACCTTACAGAATGGCAGCTCTTCCCCGGTCCAGCCCACCTCCCCGAACTCCAAACCCGCCACTGATGCCGACTTCTACAAGCGACTGCTGGCCAGGCAGAGGGCCCAGTACCTGGCCGAGAATGCTCAGAAACTCCTGGTTAAAGAAAGACAGATACAGGGACTGAAGGAGGAGCTGGGAAGGCAGAAGAGCGTTAGTCCTGAGCCAGGGATAGAGGTGAGGGTAAAAATAATGACATCTGTAGTTGGTGTAGAAATTAAGATTCACAAGGTGATCCGCTGAGCACTCTTTTCCCAGTGAGACAAAGCCAACGAAACAGAATTCTCCATGGGTGACCAAGGGAGGCTAGTTTTACTGCACCACTAGTCAAACCAGTCAATATTTATTTTATATATCCCAACCCACATATTTTGTCTTCTAAAACAAATAAAAAGACAACGACAAATAAATCAAAACAAATCAGCTTAAATTTCAATTGATTTTAAAAATAGTTGAAAATCTACTAGCACTTTTTCTAGTATCCCTTTGTGGAATGTTTGTTCCCAACTCTGTAGCGTGCATGCATGGTTGCTACCTTCGTGTCTTATGTGTATAGTACTTTTTCAGAGCGAAGCTCCTGTGGTATAGTCTCTTTGGCTGTGCACTGTAAACTAATAGAAATAGTGAATACCATGTGACGTGCCCTTGGCCTATCAAGAGACATCTGTGGGTGAGATGTTTCAAAATGTAACTGGAGACCAGCTGCCACTGTCGTGGAGCTACTAAGTATGATTACTAGTTTAAGATGTGTGAAGACACTTTCATTTTATCTGTGTGCTCCCCTGGAAGCAGAACAGCCACATCAATGCAGACAAGATGCAGCTGGAGCAGATCATCAAGGGAAATGTCAAGGAGCAGTTACGACTCCAGAGGCAAATACAGCTAGCTTCCAGCACAACGGTAAGTCCAACATATTTTTCTATTCCGATCGAATGGGTGTTGTTGTGGATCTACTGGTGAAGAAGGGGGACATTTTGTAAAATCAATCTTAGCCTAAGATTGATCTGTGTTGAGTTAAGATTGATATTAATTGTATCTCTACGCTTACAAGTTCTTGACAGAGGATACACTTAAACTTTGACCTCAAACTTCGCTGTCAAAAACCTTTTTTTCAATACAGCCATCTTATTTTCTTGTTGCGGTGAGTGCCAATGTGATGTATCATTCTGGATGTGTTTGATTATGTTTGGTTAGATGTTGATCATGATGTTGAATGAACTTTACATGCTTTTTGCTTGCCAACCCATAGCATGCCCAGGAGGGCTTTTCTTCACTGTTGAAGGCAGTTTGTCTTCAGTTTTTATGTTTATTTACATTCCTGCACATTTTCTTTTTCTGCTGGCAGAAAGCTGGCGATAAGCCATGCCTATGCTGTTATATGTACAACTCAGTACGTCTTGTCAGGCCGCTGGAACAAACATCTTTTAACGTGCCTGACTCAAACAGAAACATCATTAAAAATAATGCACTGTCAGTAGTAAAGACGTTGCGTATTTGAGACAGAATTTCGAAAAGTTTTTCGATTGTAAGGCGTCTTTAAATTTGCAAACACAGCGGTGCTCGAAGTGTGAAACAGCAAATATCGGGCAATCAGCGCGCAGTGCCCGATCCATGCAATAGTGAGGATAAGGTGCATGTGCAGATTACATGCTGTCGGAGTTCCCACTGACGAAGTTTTGCTTTTTGAGGTAGTTTGATGAATCTGCAGTTGACGTCAAGGCTGAAAGTAAAAGTTTGTCTTTGTTTCATTCTGTAGTTTTATTGTTATTTTTTTGGGTTGTGGAGTTTTTTATTGTTATTTTTTTAAGTTAGGCTTTGCTGAGATGATAACCTCTCAACCCTACAGTGTATATGTACTTCTCATTAAAAAAAAAATTAATATGAATACAATTCTCGTTTCGAGAAATGATATAATTAGGGTTATTGTTACCTCAGCCAGGTTTTGTTGTTTCCCTTCATATTTTTAATTTTCATATTTTCAATTTTGGTGGAGGATGTTGTGTTGATCTATTGCAGGCCTATTGCTTTCAGGCTTGCTGAAGTAGTAGCCTCAACCCCTAACGATGTCATCTTTGGAATTTGGATTTGGATTGGTAAAGGAAAGTGGCACAAACAGGGATGAGGTTACATGTACTTTAGCTTTTTTTTAATAATAATTTTGATTTGTTTTTCCTGTTCCTTGTTAGATTTTTTTTACTGTTATATTTATTACAAATCCCAAAGCGAATCCATTGCATATTTTGAAAAGATGTAGCCATGCGCGATAGACTTTAGCATATTGTTGAAAAAAGGGCAACCTTCTTAAAAAAATGTGCCTGGCAGCCATGAAAGAAATGAGGGAGGGAGCCTTTTTTTTTTTTTTAAAGGTATGATTACACTAATCATGTCTTTATGGTACTTGTTATTTTTTTAGTGTTTATTAAATCATGTATTACCACCAGCACTACTTTGAATATATAGTTACAAATAGTTAATTACTTGTTGATTACTTGCACTTTGACTGTTGCTACTACATTTTCACTGAACATTCATGTTTTAAAATGTTTAATGCATGCTTTTTATGTGTTGGGAATTATTATTATTGTTATTTTTTTTTAATGGATTTCGCTCATTTCTTGTTATTGTAAGTTACACATTTTTTCCACCCAGGTTTAATGAGAACGTTCATGTTGAAGTTCACTTGGAACTGAAACCATAAGTCTTCTCACAGAGAGAAATCCAAAGTCAATTACAAAATTTCATTAGACTCGGACAAAATATATTACCCTTTTCATCACTGGAAAACAAATTCATACATATTTCTGTTCTTTTCTCTATTTTGGCAGGATGCTGAATCACAGGAGGAGGGGTAATAACAAGAGTCCCACAACAACTCCTTCAACACGCAACAGCAGGCACAGTGTTGCAACAGCAATACAAAAAGCAACAACACGTGCAAAAGCAATATTCACAACAACACTGGCACCAGAAATAACATCAACAACAGCAACAATATTGGCAACAGCAGGGTTCCCAGCCACCCTCAAAATCAGAGAAACCTTTAAATGAATTTCCTTTTTTTTTCAGTCAATGAAAAACTCAGGGAATTTGGTGGGAAACACTCCAACAATCGGGGAAAACTCAGGGAATGTACCTCTTGTGCCTTGTGTCCAGGTTGTCTTCATTTACTGACTGGCTACGGTGGTTTGTTTTTAGTGCTCATGCAGTGTGAATATTACAAGCAATAACAAATGGCTGTGCTACACCATGTCTTGACTTCCGAGCAACCAATATTTCTCATGGAATTTCGGAAATTTCTCGGGGAAAGATCAGGGAATTTTCATAAAGTAGAGGGAAACCCGAACAGCAGCAACAACATGACAGCAGTAGTAACAACAGCAGAAAATGAAACCAACGGAAAATGAAACCAACTCGAATAAAGAGTTTTTAAATTGAGGAGGCACTCTTATGGATTGAGAGGGGAAAAACAATAAAGAGGCAACATCTTCATGTTCAGGTGGGCATCCTCATGTGTCTACAATCCCAATCAACATTGACCTCATTTTATTCCATGCAATATTAATCAAATGCTGTTAGTGGTTGGTTTACCTGAAAAAGAGTTTATGTAACTGATGTTAACAAGTTATTTTAAAAGAGATTATTTAACTGATGTTAACTAGAGTTAAATTTAAAAAGGTTATTTTACTGATTAACTGTAGTTAATTTAAGAGTTACATGTAACCAATGTTTATAACTGGAGTTGGTTTAACTAATGAGTAACAAGATGGAAGTATTGACTGTTTACACATGTATTTACAATTTGCACACTTCATTGCAAGAAATGGACCATAGGCTTTTCGTAAACCCAACCCTGAGTTTTATCTATGATAAAACCCCCACCGCTATGAAATGTAATAAATAAATGTATTCGCTCTTGAAAGAGTTGGTTTGGTTTGGTGAGTTTGTGTTTTTCTTATTTGGCGCTCACACAAAGTTCAAAAGAATAGGGAATATAATTACACCTTTAAACATGTAAGTAAGTGAATTCATAGAGATTTCTACAGCGAATGAGCTACGAATCTCCTAGAATATGCACGACTAGCCATGAATAACACTACGATTAAATACGGTTGTCCTACGGATGTCCCACGGTTGCACTACGGATTAATTTTCATGACGGTTCACCATGCAAGTTATGAACAGTTTAAAACTTCCGTAGCCCCTCCACGAATACCCAAGGAAGATGACGGATAACCATGGATGTACTAAGGTTGAATACGGTACTGATCCCACAGTTTATCACGAATTTCAAACCGTGGAGATCCGTAGCTCCAAACCGTGAATGTGTGACTTGGGCTTTAGATTTTCATCAGCAACAAATCCATGTATAGGTACATATTTTGTCAACAGAAACATCCAACAGGCGTTCTAGATATTTCAACTAGGCGTTCAAGATACTTAAAGAATAAGCACAGAACTCCCTAAAAAAGAGTGGTTATGGAAAATCAAGAAATTTAGATGAATCCATAAAACATCGAGTCTGTGTTCAGACTAAAGTCCTCTTGCCTCATGGCCTTATCGAGGGAGTGAGCCCTCTTGTGTCTGAAATTGGTCTATCCAGTGAGTGAGCTATGTTGGGACCAACTGTACATTGATCTCACATGCACCAATGCCAAGTTTATAAATTTCCAGTAATTTCAGTTTCAGAAAACATACAGATGTACGTGTTATGATTTTTGACAGCATTAACTCCCTGTGTGTATTTGTCCACACATTCTCCTTGACTGATTGTATTTTAGGAGGCAGTTTGCGTAAGACTTTTTGCCGTTTTTGTTCAGATTACATCGGAGAAAACCTGTTCCATTTAGCCCACCCTGTCAAAGTCCAATCATGTAATTGGATCCAGTGTGAATAATTAAAGCAAACAGGGCTACTTAAATATATGTGCATATCCCTAAAGACATTTCAAGTGTTGAAAGGTCTTGATTTTAGGTTTGTTTGGGCAAGGACCTTCTTACTTTTTCACATTAGCAGAATTTTGGCTTTTCCAACACTATAGGCAGTATTTTTCCTTTCCGTAAGGCCGGTTTTTTTTAATTACTTGGATTACGGAATTTTTGGGTCCCCATTTCCGGCGGCGAGCGGGAAATGAAAAAAAAAAAAAAAAAAAAAAAAATGGGGGCGCCCTATCATCCAACATGGTGGTGCCCATAGAGACATGAAGAAACAAAAACGGGCACGAGAATGAACAGTCACTGCATTTTCAAAACCACGGTTTCAAAGAAATAGTGACCATGGAGTGACCAACGGCCCTTTCCTTTCTTTATTTCTTCAAACCTGTGCAATAATTGGTACTGGCGTATATTTTATGAGTTTTGTAATGCTCTGTGTACAAAGAATGGCAGCAACTAAATGAAAAACCGTGGCTCATAACAAACGCGTAGACTGTAGGTTCCGGTGTCGTGCCAAAAACCGTCCGGTGCCAAATAGTGTCCACTGAGCATGCGCAATAGGCGCCAGACACTATTTGGCATGTAATACATGCCAAATAGTGTCCGGTGCCAAATAGTGTCCGGGCGCCGTCAATCGAGCGAGAACACTTGGGCGCATGCACTTACGTCCTGCCGGACAGTATTAAGCTGGAAAAATCGGACAGTATTTTGCAGGAAAATCGGACAGTATTTTGCAAGGGGGAATCGGACAGTATTTGGCAGGGGAATCGGACACTGTTTAGCAGGAAAAATCGGACAGTATTCGGCTGGAAAAATTGGACAGTATTTGGCAGGGCGGAATCGGACAATATTTGGCAGGAGGAATCGGACAGTTTGGCAGGAAAAATCGGACAATATTTGGCAGGAAAAATCGGACAGTATTAGGTGGGAGAAACCGTAAAATATAACGTTGGTTATAATGCTACATACAGCACAGCACGTACTACTACACACACTTCACACGGCGTTAGGCCTACGTACCGTACTGCATGCCAAACAGGTGAACTGACGCGAAAAAACACACAAACATTTTGCACAAATATAATATTAGGGAAACTAAGTCAGATAGTTATCACAGATAACAAGGAAAACGTTAAAACAGATTGTAAAAAGCAAATTCAGGTGAAAAGAGATCTTTTCTATACGAGTATTGACAGCTCGACAAGGCACGCAATAGGATGCACGCTAAGCGCGGACACTATTTGGCAAGCGTCCGTAAACAATGTGACGTCATAGACGCATGACCAATCAGATCGCATTATGCTAATTAGCGGACACTATTTGGCACCGGACGGTTTTTGGCACGACACCGGGTGCTGTGGCATCGTGAACGTACATGACGTGACCCAGTACAGTGCACCATACATGGCTGCGCGCGGCCCGCACGGCACAGTCTGTAGTCGTCGCCAGTCTAAGTCATGTCGTTCGATCAAACCAGTACTAATACTAAGGGAATAAATGTGTGCTCCGGAGGTTTTTATCACTCGTTTAATACCGCTTAGAGTCTGGGTGCTGATAATTACCCGAGCCGGAGGCGAGGGTAATTATCAGCACCCAGACTCTAAGCGGTATTAAACGAGTGATAAATACCGACCGAGCACATATTTATTCCCATTCATAAATACCTTATCCGTAAAAATTTTTCAAATAATTCGTTCAAAAAATCCCGATTTTGTTCAACAAGTTCACTTCATGCTTTTTGAAACATCCCTCTAGCAAAATAATGGAGTGTTCAGCTGGCGAGTAAGATGTAAACAACCCTTTTATGGAGATTGACGCGCGCGTAACATGTTCTGCGCGATGTCACGCAGAACGCACCTGGGGCGTTGCGTTTTGAATTTAGAACTGTAAACTTCTGACTCGCTTGTTGTGTTGCGCATGCCTACGTGAGGATTGTGAACGTTCAACCAATGAAACGGTAAGAGGCACTGGATTTTTAGGAGTCCACATTTTATTGTGACACTGGAAAAGTGTTTAAGACCAGCTAGCCATGTCTTTATCATCCGTTTAATACCGGCCACGTGACGGGCTCTCGACCAATAGGAATAGCTAAACTGTCTGAGGTATTTATGAATATGGTTTACAGGCCTGGACAGCGCGCAATATAGAGTTTTTTGTACAATAGGCACATTTTTTTTTTTTTTTTTTTTTTTTTTGGGGTAGTCAGAATCGACAATTTCCGGCGGCGATTTTTTTAATTTTTTTCAAAATTCCGATTTTTTCCGGCGGCGATTCCGTAATCCAAGTAATTAAAAAAAACGGCCTAATCCAGGTTTAGGCTTCAGCCATGGTTAGACAGGCGGATGTAGTTTGCAAAAATTGAAGGAAAGGTTTTTGACTGTTGTTGGCACGTTCAAAACAGAATGTTGTTTGCAGCGATGGAAGCCTGTACTATTTGGCAAGAAGGTATCATTTTGACGCAACTCTCCCCTGGAGTGTTTTGTTTATACAGGTGACTGAGGGTGCTAAAGTGAAGTGCTAACTCATAAATGTAACCTTGATTTTTTATAATTATTGGTTACTCGACTCCCACCTCAACAAAATTGAGTTAATTTTACAAGTCTTGTATTAGCACTGCATGGTCTTCATTCAGTTAGTCTAGTTCTTCCACCAGGAATTCAACTATGTATCTCACGGACAAAACAGGCACAATTTTTTTTGGGGGGGGGGGGGAGGGGGGAGGGGGCGGAAGGATAGGGAAAAATGAGAACACAGCCTTGGAGACATTATTGCCTACATTGAAAGGAATAAATCTCATTAGATATCTATTTTTGTCTGCCCCCAGTATGATTACCAAGAAAACGAAAGAGCTTGGCAAACATCAAATGCTGCGTTTATTGTGCTGCCATGATGGTTTCATTTTACAACCCAACAACATCTTATGGCCTTCGTTGATGACGCAC